TGTAATTGTGCTAGGCCAATGGCTCAGTTCATGGTGGTGGGACAAAACATTTAAACCTAAAGACGAATTTTATCCTTTAGCCCATACACAAAGAAACTTACGAATAATGATTCTATAAGGCCTTTAGTACGGTTAGCCAGCTTTTCCACCTGAGTTTGGTAATCTTGTACAGAGGAGTTGTAGTGCAATTTAGCAACAGCTCTAGCAAAGTCATCATACTCAATTAGGCCAAATTTTGCAGCAAGGGCTACAAGAAATTTTTCCCACGTGGTTTGAGACTGAATACGTTGATGCCATTGGAACCATTGTAAAGCTTATCCTTCCATGTGGAATGAAGTAATGGAAAGCCGCTGATCAGCTGGTGTTTGATGATAAGTGGAAAAATTGTTCAACGCGATAAACCCAACCAAAAGGATTGTCACCCTTAAATCTAGGAAAATCCAGCTTTAAAGCTCGGGTCTAAATAAGTCCTCCACAAGTCCCAGAAGCATTGGACTCACTGTGGCGAGCTGAGAAGTGCTTTGCTCTTTTGCCGAGATTCACTTCAAGGTCTTGTGATACATTCTTTGACATCTGATCATTTCTCAGATCAAGAGCTATTATCATCTGGACTATTTTATCTAATTGTTGACCTTACTGCTGTGTGGTGTCTTGTAGTTATTTAACAGATTCTTCCACCTTCATAGCTTAAGTTCTTGTTGGGGATTCGATATCTCGCTCAAGACCTTTTAGAAATCATACCAAGCATAAAAATACACATACCCAAGAAGACACCATATTTAATGTGGTTCGACTTTAATGCCTACATCTACGGGAGAGTAACCGGAGATTCACTATAAATGGAGATTACAAAGAGATTTACACAATGGAGGAGAAACCCATTCTCACTCAACTCCCACTAAGGTCCCCCTCTCATACAGAAGGAGCTCTCATCTCTTACATAGAGTGACTTTCTGTCTCACTCTCTACATTTTCTCACTCACGATTTTCCGCCTCACTCTCAGTTCTCTCCTCAACTTCTCTTTTTATACACTAAAATGGAGAAAGCTGGAGAGCTTGGCTGGCACACATGGCTAGCTCACTCACCTTTCAGTGGCCGTCACCTTTTACGGCTCGTCGGTTGGCAGTCGTCCTCCTGGACTTGCTGCGCTGTTTTTAGTGAAAAAGAGAATCATCCCTCACATGGGGGGATAGCATAACAAATCACCCCTCAACCCATGTGAAGTGATCCATAGCAAAAACTGCTGCCAATCTTGTCACACCCAAAATCCAGCAAAGTCTACATCTCCTCACTGAGATGCTTGCATCCCCTGAACCTAGAGAAAATATACCGGAGAAAATACAGAGATACAAAAGGATGAGGGAATCCTACATCCTCACTCAACTCACACTACTATCTGATTCTTTCTCGGAAAGAGCCCTTTGCTCTTATCTCCCACAGATCACTTCCATACTTCCCTATCTCGGATGTCTTCACCTGATATGCTTAAACTTGCGTAACCAAGATATCCTACACCCCCTGGTTAGATACCCTGCACCCTCTTCCCGGTTTGCCCTACACTCATTTCAGTGCTTAATGACACTGCAACTCCTCTCTAGAATGCCACTAACCTACCATGCATCACAATACACGGCTGGAGCAATAGAAAACACTCTTTATTTTTCAAACAACACGTTTTGCCTGGTCAATTTCCTTTGTCTTCTTTGCTTAGAGCTTTTCCTCTGAACCATCAGTCTTTGCCCTCCGCACTTCTAAACAACCTCCCAGAGTTCCCATATGCTCGTTGTCTGTGCCTTTGCAATCCCTAATTTGTTGTTCAGTAAATTGATGGTTCACTGTAGCTCCATATGTCAAAACATTATCAGCTATGCAATTCCTTGCATAGTGCTCACACTCATGGTTTCTGATCTCCCTGCGTCGAGCTTGATTAAGAGATCTGTATCAACTCTATCCTTTGCTGCCAAAGAACTAAAGAAACCACCACAAAGAAAAGAGACTTGCCACACCTTAGCGCACACTCTTGCGTTTTACCCATCCCTATTTCTTTGTTTTAAAGTTCCTATGAACTTTTAACAACCCGCTGTTGCATACTCTAACCACGCCTTCTCTGCACTGTACATTTGCACCTTGCACGACACTCTTGCGTACTCATCTGTGCTCTTGTACCTCTATGCTTGCACCAAGTATGCTCATCTACAACTATTATTCTACTCATTCAGGTCTCTTATCAGTACTAGCTCATATACACAACATTCTCTAAGCCTGTTCTGTTGCAAAATCATCTATTCGTTGATGAAGTGGACTTCTCTTTTGATTGAACCAAATCTTTTAATCAACTCTAGAGATAATCACCTCTGCAATCCTCTAATCGCCCTTGACCGATCCTGATCTTCCTTGATCCGCCATTTGATCAAGCTTGACCTCATCTGGTCTCCAATGATCTATCTCTTGATCTGCATCTGGTTGTCCAATCCAATCAAAATCTCTCATTCTAACCTCTTCAGTGAATCCACAGCGTTCTACAACATCGGGCAACATTTCTCTTACTATTGAAGATGGTAAACTCCCACGTTTTGACTATATTCAAGAAACCGCTCAGAATATCACTATTTTGATCTCACGGTTGCGTCCAAAGCAATCCGTTTAGCTAGGACCAACCTTCGTTGCACTTCCGGGGGCCTCATTGTAAAATTTCCTCAAAAGTTGGGCCACACCACAATTTTTAGAAAATTTTGGGCCCTCATTACAATTTTCCAACACTCAGGAATATTCCATTAACATAGGGCATTTTCCGTTACTGAGCGTCTGACGCCGTCTGCCATGTGTCATCGCTAAAGTCACCACCGCATCACGCTTATGGCACTACCTAGAAACCCTTCTAGGTCGGATCTGGGTGAGGATGGACCCGCCTACTTGGGCTGACATCATCCAGTTCGGACCCTCTAGGGTTGGACTTGGGTCGGATCTAGGTGACCCACCGGCTTGCTGATGTCACTCTTGCATCAGCATTGCGTCGAATCTGGGTTGGGGCTGACCCGTCCACTTGGACTAACGTTATCCGGTTAGAACCCTTCAGGGTCAGACTCGGGTTTGATCTGGGCGACCCACCCGCCTGCTGATGTCACTCTTGTATCAGCATTACGTCATCACCTCCACAAAAAAAATAATTAACCTCTGCGCTATATGAGATTCAAACCCACAACCAAAGGGTAAAGGCAAAGCCTAAACTGTTGCGCCATAAGAGCCCTTGTGTTGAATGGTTCCTAAAATATTATATTTGAACCATTTTCACTTTTTCTTCTTCACCGCTCCTCTCTTAATCGGACTGAACTTTCCAGTAACATTCCGGTATACTCCGATGAAACTTTAGGCTGCACGTGGGGGCATATGACACCTTATTTTTATAGGTCTAGACTCCACTCGTCAAGGCGCACCTCTTGGTATTCACAAAACTCGATTTTGAGCAACTTAATTTCTAGACCATTCGAAAAAACATAGTTTTCCTTAACCAAGCTTTGATACCAATTGTTGGGGATCCGAGATCTCGCCCAAGACCTTCTAAAAATCATGCCACGCATAAAAACACACACACTCAAGGAGATATTGTATTTATTTAACGTAGTTCGACCTCAATACCTATGTCTAGGGAAAAGTAACTGGAGATTCACTATAAATGGAGATTACAAAGAGATTTACACAGTGAAGGAGAAGCCCACTCTCACTCAACTCCCATTGAGCTTCTCCTCTCATATAGAGGGAGCTCCCCTCTCTCGCACAGAATGATTCTCTGTCTCACTCTCTACATTTTCTCACTCAGGATTTTTCGACTCACACTCAGCTCTCCCCTCAACTTCTCTCCTTATACATTAAGCTAAAGGAAGCTAGAGAGCTTGGCCGGCACACATGGCCATCTCACTCACCTTTCGGTCGCAGTTCATCTTTGCAGCTTGTCGGGTTGGCAGCCGTCCTCGTTGACTTGCTGCGCTGCTTTTAGTGGAAAAGAAAATCACCCCTCACATGGGGTAATAACACAACAGTTCCCTCGGCCATCTTTTGAGCACCTTGCTTTGATACCAAACTGTTAGGCTACAGAAACTCAACTAATCAATAAATCCCACAAAACATTCAACTAACCAACAAATCCCACAAAACACTCACACCACTTCCTATCCTATAACGTATATTGATTCTTTCCAAGACTTTAAAATTAATGAAAAGTAAATAACAAAATCTGGACCCATAAAATTAATACAAGCCTTTCAGTTCCTGTTGAAGGGTTTCCTCCAACACAAACAGAGACTGTTTCATTACCTCGAGGCTCAATCTGAACATGAGCATGCAAAACTACATATGATTGAGTGCTCCATCACAGTCGAAATCGTCTTCTCTCAACATTTCTCTCAGATCATCGTCCTTTAATTCCTGCAACCCTAACAGGGTAGCGTTTCTCTTGAGGCTATTGAACGAGATGACCCCTTATCACCGTCCATCAACAACGGAAACCCATTAGAAAACTCTTCTATCAACCCTTCCCTGCCTAACTTGTCAGCCATGATTGGCAACAAATCTTCAAAATAGGATTGGGTATTGGACACCATTGAAGGAGATGTAAAGAGATTCCGCTTGTCTCCCTCTCTCTTTCTTCCACAATGGACCCGTTGTTTGCTCTGTTTTTTCTTTTACCTTTTTTTTCTTTTTCTTTTCAGTCACTAGACAAAACGGCATCATTTTAGAGGATTTGAATCCCTCTAGGATTACTGGATAATTTTTTGACTTGTTGATTGTTTAGCTTTTTGATTTTTTTTTTAATGGATTTTCAACTAATTTAACCGTATTGCCAAACAACATCTAGGTTTGAGCATCGTATGGATTTGAGATGGCTAAATTATATTTAGATGATGTTTAATTATAATATTTGAACATTGTCATTCTCGTGACTATTTTTTGATTAAGCAATTTTGTATTAATTGGGCAATAAGCAAAGTAAGATGTGACTCACCATAAAATTCGGAATCTATTACTTGTAAGAGAAGCAGAGCACCAGAAGGGTATGCGAATGGCTTGGACACTGGATCATCCTCCTTTGTGACACTCAACAAATACAATAGGGTGTCCTTATGTCCATTATTAGCTGCACAGTGGAGCGGTAACGAATTCTGATCTTTGCGAATATATAAGGAGGTATCGTGTTTCTCCACCACGATAACCGCAGCCTTGGTGTTTCCATACAGTGCAGCACTGATAAGGGCAGTGCAACCGGAAGAGTTACGCAGTGCCAGCGCCTCTGGCGGCATCAAATCCACCAATTTCTTCACAAATTCGATTGACCTTCCACTCCTAATTGCTACGTGGAGTGCCGTGTCCTTTCCATCAGTGATATGGGCAGTGAGTGCACGTGGGTCTTGGTCGAAGAATCTTTCGGCGGAATCCCAGTCTCCCCTGAGTGCAGCATTAAGGAGTGGTATGTATCTCCGGTAGTCCTCAACCTCGTTCTCTGCATCCATCCATGCATCTATCACCAAACAAACATACATATTAATCAGCAGATATTAACGGTCAAGCATGTGCAATATTTTTTAATTGTATCCTACGCAGTGTGTTTTGAACATAAGATTTCTATTGCCTAATTTGATGCCAGATTAGAATTGATCACTAACTCATTTAAAAACCCAAATCATTAAAGAGATAGATAAGTTTATTATTTATATTATATCCTCAAAACACACAAATAAATAAATAAAGAGAGAGAAGAAAAAAAAAAAAAAAAGAGCAGAAATCCTAATATTGTGTGCATACGTTTCCAACAAAAAAAAAACCAATCAAAGTGTCTAAAACAACACTTTTGCAAAACATTTCATAATTTACATATTAAATTACTGTCTATTGCATAAATTATTATGTGTCAATATCCTTTTATTTTAAAAAAAAGAGTTGTGCTATTCAAATTTAAAAATTAGATCTGCTTTTCAAATTCAATGATCAATCAATGAATCACTCTCATGTGTTATTCTTTCTCTTACATCTTTTTTACTTATCAATCAATCATTTCACTTATACACTAATTTAAAAAGTAAATTTAAAAATTGGACTTGAATGTCATGTTCTGTAAAAAATGTCACTATCAGAATACTTTCCACAAACATGGGGAGTAGTATATTGTATAAATTGTTACACTACAATAAATTAGGATTTTAGAGACAAAAATTTGAAAAAATATTTTTTTTTTTGAACGAAATATTTTTATTACCAAAAGTGTCATTATTATATATTTAATGATGAAATTTGAACATTAGTGATAAATTATTGTCTTTTTAGAACCAAATTATTTTTTTCTAAAAATAAATTTATTAGCGATATTTTTAAAATTTTGCCTCTGAAAGTCCTATTTTCAAAATAAGTGAACCCCATTAAACAATGTAGGAAGAGTCTGATTCTTAAATTTTTCAACCATCTATCCTACTGAGGCATACAATGCAAAGTAAGAAAGGACAGTGTGATGAGAAAGGGCATAAACGAGAAACAATAATCAAGAGGAAAAGGATATGGCAATGGATGATAATGTCATGTAACCTTACCCGTTGCTCCCCGCCTACTGAAAGAAGCATCCATGAGCACTTGACTCTCCTTTTGAAATCTTTATTATATACAAACATGAAAGTTAAACTTCTTTGAAAGTCAGTTGTCTGGTGTTGATCTCTCACAAAACTACTCACTTCTCTTTGGGGATTATGGAAGAGTTTTCATGTCTATATATATATATATATAGAGAGAGAGAGAGAGAGCTGCTACAATAAGTTGTTTGGTGGACCAGAATAAGGTAAGGACACCTTGAGCTATACGCTTCTTCCAGTTGTACATGAAAACCTATTATCAAATTGGACACTATCTTTTTCACATATGTTTGAGACTTACAAAATCATACTAGAGATTTGTGTATAGTTATGTAATCGATTTTTGTATTTCTAAACTTTTTCTTATCCCAATGAACAGCATGCAATAGTTAAGTAGGGAGAAAAATTAATGGTTCAAAAATAGAACCAAATAGTTCATATAATTGGAGAAGCCACAATTTGACTATGAAGAAAATAATGTGTAGTTGTTTTTACATCTTTCTTTCAATAACCAATTACATTCAATAAGTTACCAAAAATTTCATTAATCTCGTAACCTTAATCTCACATGCTACAATTCAATTGTATAAACTCTTATATGTTGTAGTGTTAAATATCACAATCACATTTTTGTGAATTTTGTATATGACATTTTTGTTTGTCAAATATGTAAACCTCTGTTCTCCAACTCTGGAAAAAACTTAGTAGGTGTTCTTGGAGTTCAAACTAACTCATTTTTATTAACGTTAATATTACAAATCTAAAAAAATATTCAGAAAAATACATTTATAAATCAAAATTATTTTAGATGAAACTCATATCATACTAATTTTAAATTTATATATACAACTCATTTCGAGATGCATTTCGGACACCATTGATAATCTTATGAACGACATGGCCAATCAACTATCCCTAATTTAGAACAGAACGACATGGCCAATCAACTATCCCTAATTTGGAACAGAAGGACAATGGACCCGACATATATAGCAGCAATTGAACCAAAAAATGAATGTGTGGTTGAGACATATATGCTATTTGTAAAGTAGAGTCCACACATGAAATTAACGACTACATGTGTACTCTAATATCAAAAAATGTTAAAGCCATATTTTGCATGGGAAATCAACTTTATACATTCAATTTGTAGTTTATTCTCTCTCTTTTTCTTTTTTTTCTTTTTGTTAATTTGTAGTTGAATAAAAAAGTTTTATGCATGTTTAACATATAATGTTAGGTTTGAAATATGAATTTGGAAGGGATTTTAAATAATAAAAAAATGAAAATATGTGTATAATATATGTGAAATATAATTATGTTTTATTCACGTTACACTTAACTTTTGTCTTTCTCTTTTCCTTTTCAAATTCTTACCAAAATTTAAGTGTCAAACACAACCTTAGTGTGGAGGATAATCCTATACATTATTAAATTTCTTACTATTTTTTTTAAGAAAATAATATATAAGTCTAGTTTTTAAACCCAATAATGTATCAATGATATGATTGATTGATATTTAGAGAAGATATGAAAAAGTTTGTTACAACCTCAAATATTCTAATTAATTGTCATATCAAGTTTAAAATTGGGTCTAATTTTTTTACTTGTATAGTAATACTTCTTTTCTTTTCTTTTCTTTTTTTATTACAAGACAAAAAAATATTATATTTATTTATGTAGGTATCATTGCTGAGGTAAGAGTGTTAAATGACGTTAGTTTTTTGTACACAAAATTTCTACAATTAATGACACTAAACAACAAGTGGCTTTACATTTATTAGATTACACGGATAAAATTTGCTAACAGTAGTCCATGAGCACATGGATCAGGAATATCCCCATATATAGTAATACTTCTTTTCTTTTCTTTTCTTTTTTTATTACAAGACAAAAAAATATTATATTTATTTATGTAGGTATCATTGCTGAGGTAAGAGTGTTAAATGACGTTAGTTTTTTGTACACAAAATTTCTACAATTAATGACACTAAACAACAAGTGGCTTTACATTTATTAGATTACACGGATAAAATTTGCTAACAGTAGTCCATGAGCACATGGATCAGGATCTGGGGTGGTGCTGTGCCTTCAAGGTGCAATAGTCTGTTGTGTTTCTTCGTAGAAGGTCGTCTTAAATTTTTTAATAATTTAAACCGTTCATATTGTAAGATTTGTCAAGAACATTATTCATACAAAAAATTAAGTTAATCGAATATTTATAACCTCATGATTAGGTCGTAATTATTTTTAAAAATTTATGGAAGTTACGTTAACTATTAATTTTTATAAAAATAAATGTGCTTTTGTTTTAGAGCTGTAAATATCTAATCAATTTGATTTTTTACATAGATAATTTACTCGATGAATCCTATAATATGAACGATTCAAATTATCGAAAGAGACTTAGAACGACGCTCACAAGAGAACACAACAGTCTGTTGTGCCTTTGAGCATAGTAAGATTACCAAATCCACATGGATCATGCTTGCAAATATATATATATATATATATATATAGAGAGAGAGAGAGAGAGAGAGAGAGAGAGAGAGAGAGAGCGAGCTATGACAATGAACATGTCTTTGGGTTTCAAATCAAAAGTAACATTTAAAAAAAAAAAGAAGAGGGGAAATTACATTTACCGTAAAATAAATATAAATTAATAAAAAAAAAATATAATTTTAATTATTAATATTGATAAAATCTTCTATTGATTTGTAATTAATTTTGTAAAAATACATTGATCTGTAATATTCCCTACAAAAAATATAAAACAAAATATGTGAACCCAACAAAAAAAAGAGAATGAGATTGAGAAAGGGACTAAACGAGGAACAACAATGTAGAGGAAAATTATAAGGCAATTGATGATAATGACATGTAACCTTACCTCCTTCTCCTTCTTCTTCTCCTTCTCCTTCTGCTTTTTCTTGTTCTTCTTCTCCTCCAGCTTTTTTTCCTTCTTCTCCTCCTGCCTTTTCTCCTTCTCCTTCTCCTTCTCCTTCCGCTTCTGCTTTTTCTTGTTCTTCTCCTTCTACTTCTTCGATTTCTCCTCCTCCTACTTCTTCTCCTTCTGTACATGCTTCTTCGATTCCTCCTCCTCCTCCTTCTACTCAGGGACGGAACCAGGATTTCTTTTTCGGGGGGACCAAAATATTTTTTTTAATTTAAATTTTATATCGATCGATATAAACAATTCTATTTCAATTAAAGAATGAAAAATAAATTAATATTTAATACTAAATTAATACGTAAAAAATAAAATAAGTTTCTATTTGAACAAAAGAATACAATTTGTTAAAAAAATCATCATCCATTTTGTTACAACACGTAATTTTCACAATTTTCTTCATAATTATAGTAGTAATTGAAAGAGTAAACACAAATGCAATACTTTGCAAACTAGTGGATAGATTGTTTCATTTTTTAGTCCTTCTCAACCATTGACGGAAAATTTTTGTAATCTCTTTAGTTTTCAATTGTATTTTCTTATGATCCGTGAAGTTTTGAAGATAAAACTTGTCTGTAATCAACTCTCTTTCACTTTAAATTTTTTATTTAGTCTTTTTTTTTATTCTAATAAAATTTGCTCTACATTTTTTGTATAACAATAATATTCATGGTCATAATAGGTAATGTCATGGAAAGAATGACTCAAATTTATTTGTGAGATGTCAAGCCGTTGAAAAATTTGTCATTTAAATGAGGCTTGTAATCTTCCTTTTGGTTATTCCAAATCGTAATGAACAATCTGCACTTATTTGAGAATTTCTCTTTTTCGTATGTGTAATGTGAGTTATCTAATTTTTCACGTAATAATTTACACATGCATCCACATAGTGTGGAATAACATTTCTCTTTTTATATCCTTATGTTTTGGTTCATTGATTTGGAAAGAGAAATAAAAAAAAATAGATAAATAAATGAAATATAATTATATTTCACTTACATTGTACACAATTTTTCTCTTTTTCTTTTCAAATTTATAAACCAAATACAACCTAAAAATATGCTAAGTATAAATTATATTATGAATTTTGTAAGAAACAAATAAATAAAAATTTCAAATGCACAATTGTTTCCTTGTTAATAGAATAACGTGGGCAGTCAAAAAAGGATGGGACATATCTATTCAAAGCAGAGGGGACACATTTAATAAAAAGTGTATTTAACTTTCAAACAACTAACCATAGCAGTGGCACTCTC